CGGCAGACACAATGGTCATTAATGACTCCAACTTCATCACTGACCAAGATACATGAAAAACAGAATCAAATAGAAGAGAAGTCTAACTTCAAAATCAATAAAATGAAGAAGTAATCGAACATACACCCACGAAATGATTGAAGCAGTAACAAACCAATGAAGAATACTCAGAACTTTGCGGTGATATTCGTTTTTGAATTATTCCACTGATGAGCCGTAACTACTGATTCCTAACGTCTCAAGAATCGAAGCCAGCTGCAACTTGCATCCTTAGACCATACCCTGTCCATCTCTTAGCGTGGTTGTCAACTTACGTCTTCAAAAGAAACTAAAATATTCATAAAATTTATCGTCTACCTATGACTCTTTGAAGCCACTTTCCATTACATCTTCTGATCAAAATTACACTAGCCTTAAAAATGTGAATATCTTTAAGAACGGTATAAATAACAGTTGCCACATGTACTGATAAGCAATGTCTTTACGTTAGAATATTTTGAAAACTAGATCGTTGGATTTCATGTTGTTGGAATCAGTAAGCCATGATACACTAAATGAGAGTATCTCCATAAGCGTATTCTTCTGGTCTTGTCAAAACTATCTTTAAATGTATTGGGGGGAAAGAAGATTATATTATTGACTTGGATACAACATAAACAAATAAGAAAAGTCAATTGTGAAGTTGAAAGTTTATTGAGTATTGAACAGATTTCTTAATATATTGTTAACAAAATAATAAAAAAAAGTGATTATTATGCACAGACAAATATTTTACGAAATTTGAACAGTTTACACTTCTAAAATGCCTAAGTTTGTAAATGTCAGTTCCACATATAATAGAAGCAATATAAGAAATAGACAAAGAAAAATGACAAAACAAACTTGACCGGTTAATAAGTAATCGTAAGTTACAGTCCGTAACATAAAGTACTAGGGATAAAGTATTTCAGTCAGTCAAAAACTGACCAGTCATAAACGAGGTATTGTTCTGATATAACAAGTTGTTATTTTCCACTGTTTATCTTACTGGATAGAACAGAACGGCCACTAGTGGCATATGAGCTTCTTTGAGGATGCCTAGATATAGCTAGTAATTCCATGTTAACATTAGGATGAAGAGTGACTCACAGAGAAATTTGAAATGTGCATTTCATATTAATTAAGATTCGTTACCTGTATGTATTGCTTGGATAAATTCTAGAAAACATTCAATTTGTATTTGAAATATCTTTGTTAAAATGAATACCTTTTTATAACCCACGTTGTTTCAACGTCGAGTTTTGATAAGTGGTTTAGTGATACTCATTCATCTACAAGTGAAGTAGTCAAGTATGAGTAAAGCAAGAGATGTCTCGTCCATAAGTAATCCTCCATTATTCTAGATCTTAAGAAATGATGACAAGGATTATTTATATTTTTGATCTATATTGAAGTGTAAAGCCTGGTTTAATTGTAACAGCTAGGCATTTGGTACTGAATGACAAAGTGAGTGGTCAATGGAGAGTGACCAACTTCATGTTGTCCTCTTCTGAGTGCTGGCTTAATTCAGTGAATCAGTTTGCACTGCAGTCACCAGACTGGGGGACTCGACATCGTGCTGCACTTCGGTAGATGCTAGTTGTTTGCAGATAAATGACAGGAAGCCCATAACTTAAGTTTTCTGCTTCTTAGCACTCGTCTCGGTGGTTGCATTTCTAAGTGACTGGTCAAACTTGATAACCATTCAGGACTAGAAAAGATGAGATCGATTACTCTCCATTGACCTATCAGCGCATGGAATCCAGTACTTCATGAGATGAATTATGGACTCAAAAGTTCTTTGGAAGCGTCTATGACTGCAGGATAGGGTAATATGGGTTCGAATCTCATGGGAGAAGTTAGTTTTTGAGGTCAAAGACATGCCTTGCCAACGAATGTCAACAAACACGAAACCGATGTTTATGGGCTCTTGCTGATTGCCTCTAACCAACTAGAGAAACTGGCTGACTTAGAGTTGAATGTTAAGGGAGGGTAAGACTTCTTCAGGTTTCTAAATATGCCTTAATGCCATCATAACGAAATGTGAAGCCTAATTCATGGTCGCCGAAACATCTGTTCTGAACGGGAAATTCATGACGGAGTTTTGCTATTTGATTACATTCAATTATATCATTCTCATAGTAGACTGAGTAGTTTAAGAAAAAAAGCTTGCCATTACCGCATTTCTTAGACTTCATCTCGACTGAACTCAGAAAAGATTTTCTTTCAGTTTATCAAGACAATCTGTTAGTAATGATTATTTTCTTTCTTCTTCTGTCTCAGTAACATTAAAAAATGGCTTGTATGACAAAGCTAAGTTCCATCTAAACTCCTGAATTCAATAAAATTCTATTACAGTGAATAAACTTCTTCCTGGGCGACCTAAATACTGACATCTGACACTGTTTACCCTGTTATACATTCCATTTAAAAGAAGCTAACTTTTCTACATGATAATTTGAATTTACTTATTCTTAAAACCAGATAATGCGTTTCAACATAATGGGATGACTTCCTCAACAAAATGTCTTTATGGCATGTATCTACTAAAAAAAATTAAATATCCCAGTAATATGACTATTTGTTGGAGATTAATTAGTAAAAGAATTTAGTCAAACATTCATGTCAGATGTATCAGTTTTCTACAACTGTATAGGTTAGGTAGTAGGCATTAAAAATTATGACCCATTGCTTATGCAAATGCATTAACTAAGCGTAACGTTAACTTATCAAAGAAGCTAAATGAAAATGCCACATCTCATTCAATAAAATGTAATTATAGTCAACCAAAAACCTTGGTAACTATATTTCATATCTCGTTATGTTTTTCAGTAATATGAGATTGTCGACTTGTCTTTACATCAAAAGGCTTAAAGGTTACTTATCCAGAATTCGATCAGAAACATCAAATATTAACTCTTCAGTAAGTGATTGTCAGACTTTGAAGTTGGATACATGATAGTGATCACTTCCTTGCCGTACTCTTGAATATGCGTTTGTAACTAATATAAATAGTTGTAAATGACTTCATCGAAGACTATCTTCCAACTGTTCCAAACCAGTTAGCATAAAAGGGTAAGTAGTTTACGAGTACATTCTTTAATATGTAGTGAACCCATTCTCATACTAATTATAAAAATCCTATTTCAGCTATTGATCCGTAGAGTGGTGCACTTTTGCCTCTTATCGGTTATTACTTATACAGTTATGTGAATTCTTACAGTCCTTTTTCTCTGTGTGTGTTTGTAAGGAAGATCACATACATACACACACCGGTGTATACATCTCAGCGCATCTTGTAAAAGTTAAATATTTTTATTCATTTCGTTATTGGCTAACAAAGGTTACTGCGTATATTGCAACAAAACTTCTGCAATTTACGAAAAAAACATTGCTAAAACTGCTGTTTTAAAGAAGAATTGACAAAGACAGCTTGAGATTCTCTTGAACAAAAAATCAGCTAGTGGGAATATTTACAAATGTCGTGTCATCTGAATAATAGTACATATACCAAGTTACCGTTTGTCTTGGCCTACGACGTTGGCTGCTATAAGGTAGAATCAGAACAGACTTTTGACAAAATCCCATTGTATAACACCCTTGAACATAATGATTTAGGCATGGCCACCATAACAGCAATGTTCATAACTTTATTTTACGAACTGACAGAAGGTGGGAAATATGAACCATTGGATTTCAACTTACTGACTAATTGGCAAAGTTCTCACTGTTAGGTCTAACTGTTATGCGCTCTGTTCTTCACATGATCTTCTAGGATCATTGTCAGGGAGTCTCAAAATGGGACAGTACTGTCGTACAATAACTCCTGGCTTTTTACAGTTAGTCAATTATAATCAATTTGAAATGAAAATATTTTCATTTCTCAGTGAATGACTTAATTCAACAATCTGCGAAAATATGCAATTCATAGATTTAATAATACACTGTGTGGTAGAGAAGTCGCAGCCAAAAGAGTTTTGGCTGTTGTACAGAAGTCTCTGAAAAACCTCGAAAAAGAATTGGATGTGAATAAATTTCGACCCCATTATCATTATGTTTGGTATTACACTACTAAATGTATTTAGTATACAAACCTATACTGCGAATGTGACGTATAAAAAAAGTAAGCGACTAATTGGGAATCACGTTGGTCAAGCTCTGTCGCCTGGAATAACCAGTATTTACAATTTCCAATCGTCTCTAACGGCAGTATAGAATTTCATACGTCAGACAACTAAATGTCTATTGATATAACTTTTCTGCTTTTCAATTTTTAAACTAATCATTTTCAAAGTTGTCATTGGGAAGATTTAGAAACCTCAGATAAACCAAAAACTTCCAACCCATCTGGATTTCTTTGATTATTATATGACTGTATGACTAACTACCAGAATAACCAGGTGCGCGGTATGGTCACTTGTCTAACTGTGATGATACTGCAGTACATTTGATTGAAGGGCGGCGTTTAAAGTGAGTTGATAACAACACCATGTGAAGCTACCAAGTACATCCTTAAGTCATGGGAATAGACAAGGTATTCTCCAAAGCAATTGTATTTCGGGCAAAATGACTATCTTGCCACCTAGATGAAAGTAGACTTCTAAAATAGGAATTGAACATGTGATCCTATGGTTTAAAACCAAGAATGCATTGATGATAGATTACATCAGTTTAAAATTTATCTCCTGATATATATAGAAGACATTAAAAGATTATTAATGTATGATATAATGGCCGAAAGAAAAGAAACATGTTCGAATATAAGTTAGTAATAGAAGTAGTATTGACAGCAATGAATGAACTACTGAGTGAGAAGAATACTTGGATTTAGTGAAAAGGATAAGTAGCTTGAGAATACACACGTACACTAAAAATTAATCAAGCATAATACTACTATATTGTCTTTGGCAGCTTATAAAAGCCACGAAGTTAAAGAAAAAGAGAGTAACTTATAGTTGAAGTAACAGGAATCAACACAGTATTTATCGAGCTTTACAAATGTCAATAAATTCAGCTTTCAATGAAGCTCCACCAACTAAAAATCCGTCTACATCCGGCTGTTGAGCTAATTCTTTGCAGTTGGCAGCAGTCACGGAACCTACAATGAATGTAATACATACAAAGTGAGGCAGTGTGTATGCAAGTGTTTATGGGCATGTTTATCAACAAAGAATATAGTCAGCACTATTAAAATATTTCACAGACTTCAAGGAATGAAAACTGCTTTATTCAGATTTATTAGTAAACTTGTACTCTACACAGTTGTTAATAACCGATGTTCATCATTGTAAACTAGGGAAATTTATTCACTAGTAAATTCAATGGAATTGTTTCATCAAAGTATGCGATGTAAACGATAATTGCTTTACTTATTCATTTGACAATATGTACCATCAAATCGAACCTGGTTAGTACTTTCAGGCCTTTCCAAGGTTTGAAGCGCTTTCTCTCAAGTAAAGAGACAGGAATAAGCCATTTCGTAACAAAAAACTAGTTGAAAAAGTTTTATAACTACATAGTAAGAGATTGCTTTATTTCATAAACCAAAACAATGGATAAACAAATTTCTTTTTTAATATACTCTGTTTTTTCATTCTTTTTAGAAATTTTGCTCATATGGGAATCGTCTAACTTCTCAAAAGTCAAGTTATATAATGGAATTTGTTGGTTCAACAGTACCGTATTTGACATGGAACCTGACGCCTCTTTGACCAAACACAACCAGACTTTCATTTCTCGTTTCCAAACAGTTCTATGCTGGAATGTAACAAGTGTAACAAACCACGCATGGATATATATATATATATATATATATATATATATATATATATATATATATATATCTTTACCACAGTAACACAACCGTTCGATCACAAATAAATCGCACCTGATAGAATAGGGATCTAAACTGTTCTAAACCTGAAATGTATTGACTTTGTAATGAGAAAATTGTAATATTTTGAACAACCAATTACATGTGTTTATTGGAAAAATTCTGAGTGAATTCACAATGCTAGATTTGGTATGGATCGTACGGAAGTGAGTAATTTAATAGTCTCACATGCTATTGTAATGGAATTTACATTCGGCTCTATATGCTCCCTGGTCTTCGCTTTACTTCGTCGTGAAATACTACTGGAAGTGTAACATACAAATCACCTACGTCCATATAGCCACAGTAGATTTTCGTTACTAAATGATATTACTTTTGAAGAAACTGACGTAGGCAGGCGTTTGCGAACTAACAATTAACATTCCCGTCTCACTGTATACATATGGTTCACCGTACACAACCGAAAAATGGGATATGTAGGGCCATTTATAACAGAAGAGAAAAAATGGATTCGACTTAGTGTACTTCACTTAGAATAACTGATAATTGAAATGCACATTGAAGACAGCTTCCTTCAATTTGATCAGTGGATCACCTTTCATACAAAACACCACACACAATTGCCTTTTCCTGCCGATCGTATTTATTTATATCAAAGCCGTTATTTTCTTGTAAAAACCAATATGACTACATCCTTGATATCAAACCTTTTTATGCCAGTGTGAATGTAGACTGTGTGTGATGCATAACTTCCGAAGTACTCTGTGAGACTAATACACACCAACTTCAAAAAATCCTCAATCAGAGCTGTGCGAAATATGCTACTGATTTACATGAGTAGTTGAGGACCACTTATGCTGATAATCGTCACTGACATCTCAGTAGTCTAAATAGTTCGATTCTATCTGAGATGAATAAGTCCACGTCAAACGCTCGCAAGTCAGACATTAGGCAAACCAAACAGTCATCTGCTGTTATTTAACTTTGATTTGGTTATCTAGTGATACACAGTTGTTCATTTCAGTCAGTGGTGTACTTCGGACACACTTTACGCTCATAATCTTGGTGGCATTTGTGAAGTTCAGCAGATCACATCGCTTGATCTCAGTATTTTGCCTTCCATGAAGATCTCGCTGAAATTTTATCAGCCTCAACTGACTATCATCTTCATCAAACAGTGTAATTAGCAAACAACTGATTTGATTCCAAATTATCATTTACAGGGAGGGTTTTTTAAGTGAGGGAAACATGCTTTGGGATATGAGTCAAATCGCAAACCTCTGAGTTAGTGTCTTGAATCTGTACTAACTAGGCTGCAAAACCCAAATAATACTATAACCAATTTTGCTTCGATTAGACACATTCATTAGTTTAACTTATTGGTCAAATAACATCTTAATGATAATTAGGCTCAGTTTAACCATACTTACCACCATATATAATGCGCAAATTTTCATCAACACCAGCTGGTGCATTAGTCTTCAACCACTTGCGTAGGAAACTATGAACTTCCTGGGCTTGTACGGGTGTAGCAACCTTGCCTGTACCAATAGCCCATACAGGTTCATAGGCAACAACTACTCTTTGCCATTCATCCGCAGAGTGAATTTTGTCTAAAATGAAGTGATCAAACGTAAATTCGAATAAATAAAACAGTCATTTCACACAGAAATGAAGTTGGACTGAACTTTAATATATTTTGCAACAAACTATTATGATTTCCCAATTTTCCATTGTTTCCTTCACTAATGACACATTATTTTTGAAGGAACGTCAACTATCTCCATGTGGTGTATTGCAACGTTAGCCGTTATGATGATGACAAGCAGCAAAATGAGATACATTTGATTCTGCCTGTTTAAAACTCATCACCTTGATGTATTTGGTTATTTCTATTGTTCTGAATAAAACCAACTCACTATCAGTGGCTTCAATAAACTAAAACGCTCTGAGAACTACTTCATGTACGAAAAATTGCGTCTAGACGATAAGTGTTCAGTAGTATGAAACAGATATCACAGCTTTCATCACAAGCTTCAACAAAAAAATGAACTTAACCTTATACTTTATTGTCTCTTAGTCACAGATCTTACGACTATGCTATTCAGATTACGATTGCTCCCCCATAGGAGTGGAGTATGTACGTCAGTCCGTCAAATCCTAAGTGACCAACACCCATCAAAGTCTATAGATAAAGTCTGCATTTCACAGTTATCTATAGTAATTCTTTACAAATTATAAAACTTTTATCATAGAAACGTAACTGTCATATTACTCCAGATAAAAGTCAAATTAGTACTCTATACAAGAACAGTAGTTATACTAACGGTTACGGAAATAGTTGATTAGAGCAGAACTTTCGTTGAAAATATAGTTGGGTGAAATGAGATAAAAGGCATGAAAACTATACACATTTAGTATCAATGGAAAGTTGGTGCATTGTGAAATGAATCCATCTACTGTCAGTAAATCTGAAATAAATGTGTAACGCAAAACGATCATTTACTATTTAGTTTCGGTAATATATTTTCAGTGAAAGTGCTGTCTACAATTATATCAATATCTGAATTTCTATGATCAAAATTTAATTAACAGAATAAAACTTTCAAGTTAAGATACTATCAAAAATGAAAAGCTGATTATAGTGTGCAAACATTCATTTCAAATTTTCACTTAATACTATATTATATACACTCAAGAAAAGGCATGGAAATAGACATGGAACAGTTAGAAGAAAGACAGAATTCTTGAATTTTAAAGTGATATTATTTAAAAATCATTTGTCTTTTTAAAATGCGACAGAATAATTTTAACAGATTTTTTAATTTGCTAAAATTGGAATTTCCGATGCTTCCCTTCAAAACATCTTAAAGTATATATTTATTCAGGCTCCACTACACTATTTTTCCTGCTGATTTTAATTTTGAAATGGCTAGGCTGAATTTTTAAGTTACTGAATTCAGCGGTTGCTTTTATTCCTACCTGCGACTTGAAAGAGCTGAGTAGAAGTCTATTACTCATCTGTTATTCAGCAGTTAATCTTGTCGTAAAATAACTCTGGTGTCTCCAAGGAACTAATAATAAGTCTTGTCGTAAAACGTCTATTTTACCTAGTGACTGTATGAAGAAGCAAACCACGACGAACATGAGAATCTAGAGTGTATAAACATGGAAAATCAACGTATACGTACTTGCAATAGCTTTTAACTGTCTTACACAAACTTCTTCTGTTTTACCAGATTCACGTTCTGATAGCATTTCACCAATACAGGCTATAACACTTAAACCTTCTGCAAGAGCATGTTGAACCTTTTCAGCAATGAGCTGGATACAATATGAAATAAAAAAGGAGAATTATATGAAATCTTTTTTAGTAAACAGTTTCAAAACAATATACAGCACAAGCTAAATTTCAGTTTAATTCATCTCTACAATACTCATTCCTGTTGACTAGTCTTATAGAATCAATCAGTAGCAAGAAAGAACCACAGCACTAAAATTAAGATTTACACGACTGACGTAGTTCGTAATTATTTTCGCCGGTAAAGTCTTCTATTTAGCGATTAAGGGAAAGAAGACGAACATTAGAAAATTTATCAACAACTTTTTTATTCATACTTAAATGCATCTTTTGTTTTAAACTATCTCATTCAATTGAATCATAACGAATCCCATGAATTAAAAATATTGTCCCTATATTGCTAAAGCTACATACTGGTTGAAACAAAGTTTTTTGTCTCTGCCAAGAAGAAACCTGCTTGACTTGGAAGATGCGAATGGCCTGGACCTGTGAGGTAAGGAGGATGGCGAGATGCAGAAAAACCTGAATGCTTTGAGTGGAAATGTAGGTAAGTTTGACATGGGTTGCGCACGCACCAGAGTTAAAATGATTTTTGAGCAATGGTCTTTACCAGTTCCTAGTTTACGAACTGGAAGTAAAAAAGTGGCATGAGTTGACCTCTTGAGTTACCCTAGAATTAGTATCAGTCCGAACGGGTTGGCCCCTGATAAATTCCAGCCCGGGTGCAAACCTCACACTCCGTAACAGATGCCATCTTGGGTATCGCCTGGATATCCAACTACATGCTGAAGGATGAGTATACAGCGCAGTAGTTCACGCTGTAATATTGTCAAGTTGTTAGAAAGGAACGCTGAAATTAGAATAAATAAAAACGTTACTAGTCTTTGACCAGAATAGTGCTTGTAGCACTAATCTCGTAAGGTATAATCATTTTGTGGGAAACAGAGAAGTAAGCAAGTACTGGACTAGGAACGCAAGTCATTCAATGAAGTTATGAATCTCAGAAATTACGGAGGCTTGGCCATGTATTGTATATGTTAAGGCATTACCTACCTCAATATGTAATATCAACCAAAGTAGGCCTGGACTGAAAGAAGGCTGAGGGTGGCCAGACCAAGACTAAGCAGCAGTCAATGAAGTCTCTAAATGTTGTTCTGCAACGAAAAGGAAAATGCAGGCTGCCTGACTGATGTCCTCGAGACTATAGGAATAGATGGTTAAAGACTCTTGGCGTTATGGCTCAAAACCCACCACAATAAAAAAGACACAAACATTTTTTTTTCATCTTCAAAGTCTTAAGTATTTGCATCAGCCTTCATCTATTGATTGCATTTCCTTGCATTCATATTTTTTAACCTTGATATCATTCTCTCTATCAGCTTCTTGGTTTCATTCTGCTAGACATTTTGACAGTTCAAACTGATACACCTATTCGCAAACTTTTGACATTGATTTTTCGGTATATACTTTTGTCTTTTAGAAAGCATTTCAGTGAATTTGTCTCTCGTCCCAAAAACTTGAGTAATGTTATTTCTTAAAATCTGATCTACTTTAATTGACGTATCTGGATTTCAGCAACAAATTCATCTATACTGTAGTAACGAATTAGCATATTCAACAGAGTAAAACCTGCTCTTAATCATCACTGGTTTATATAGTAGGCAGTGTATAGGTAATCGTATAAAAAAGTTCTGCAGTTACGCTTTGAAGAATCAAAACCGTACAAAAGGCGTAGATTTTAAAAAACCTGAGGAAAATATTATTGAATTTATAAATCCTACTCAACGCTTCTTAGTGGATTTTGCAGAGTAGAATTCACAATAGCTATAAATTAGCAGAATTGTTTTCACTGGAATTTAAGGACGGTGACCGAAGCTTGCTGACTGAACTGAGTTTTTAGCTACTTTATAAAAAACATATTTGGTTCACTCTGACTGGTTTCAATAATGCTCATCCCAATCTTTGAGAAAGGACAGATATTATTTTTGGATTCACCTAAAATTATCAGCCTGACAAAATGGTGTCTAAGATTCTAGGTTCTATTATCACAAGATGTGCAGCTGAAACTCGCAAGTAGGGAACCTGCGAAAGCTAGTTACATTTCACAACCGTTGTAGGTGTATCCACAACGTCCCCCACTCTCCTTCAGCTTGTGGAATCCAGACACATAGGCATATAAAATCACCGGTGTTCAACGATTTGGAGCTAATATTCAACTGCATCGATCATCAGGCCTAATGGAATCAATTTTCAATGAAACTGGGGCCCCGTGAGTACACCAATATACTGAAGGTTATACACAAGAACATATATGGCAACGTTAGAGTTCACACTAGAGTATTGGACTACTCGTTGACATTGGTTAAATTTCATCTCAAATGTTAATTTCCTTGATTTTATTCATTCTTGACATAATTATACTGATCCGGGTCCGTCACTCCTGGCTTAGTTTCATCGGAAAAACCTTCATCGACGAATAAGATGCAGACAGCACCCCTCCTAGCCAAAGAAGAAAAAATCCAGCATTTTAAAAACTGAAGATGTTAAAGTTGCGTTTAACCCCGCCCCATCGAATGAAAACTTTTGCTTCAGGAATGATGTTTTTTTTAAACCTCCCCTAGCAAAATAGTGTCGTGGTTGAGTGGGCTGAGTAATTTATGTCAAGCGGAATCAAATACGGTAGATAACTGATTAATGACTTTTTGGTGGGGGTAAAAAGATTTTTCTGACCTACGCAACCCGTTGAGCAAATGGGACATTCTGTTATCTAGTGATAGTCCAATGAAGTGCATACTAGTTAACTCTCTGACTGGGTTGCTATGAAATGAAGCCATTAAATGTAATTAACATAAGAAACCCGCTTGTTTTTCAACACGTTTGTCTCAGTAGCATTGAGTGTATGCCGTGGAACCACCGAGTTAGTGTTGTAGACGTCAGGTAAACCTTCTCGGCTTAAATAGGTAATTTAGTTGATAGGGTAATGAAACTACATCATGACAGTTTGACATGCGCTATGCATTCCTAGCTATACGGGTGAAGAGTAGCCAGAATAAAACGTAGTATCATTCCATGAACTCTCTGACTGTTGATTTGAGTCATGTGGGAAGATGTAACTTTTCAGGTCGAGATCCAGGAGTGCTGAAATCGACGATTATGTACTGTAACTGAAATTGTGATGCTTACGAAAGCCTACTCATGTACTTTCCAATTCTGGTTTCTGGATCCTCCCGTCTTTTATTTGTGCAATAATAACGTTTGTCGGTTATCTCCCTTCACTGAGTGTAAGAGCAACCTTTTTGCTTGCTACGTCTTTTGCTCAGGCAATTTTACTTTTCTCCTTCACATTCCTGTACTAGTTTAGGTGATTACCGCCATCAAGTTAACTCCCATTTCCACTCACCCCTTGCAACAAAAACATACAAGCTAGACGAAAACCTACCAACTACTGGTCTTTGCGATCATCCTTAGAGTTGATAGTAGTAACGCTGATGTTAAGCTATCTTCTCTTCAGCTCGATTACTACTTCATGTTTTTTTATTTGCTTTGATCCATGTTCTTGCTTTATGGCTTCCTATGAATTTTATGATACCTGTTCCAATGCTTTTTTTCATTCTGTTAATTTTTATCTGTGATCTAGTACTTTTTAAATTTGTATATCTGTTGACTAGGCCCTACTTTCTGAACACTTTGGTGATAAAAAGTGAATGGCAAACTCACCTCATCAGATTCTCCAAAAACATTTCTTCGCTCGGAATGACCAAGTATAACCCAGTCACAACCAACATCCTTTATCATTGCAGGACTATAAAATTTTATTGAAAAAGTAGACAGGGTATAAAACAGTTGTGTAAGATTAAACTTATTCATTGTTAACTAGTTTACGATGACTTGTTATCAGATGAGCAAAAACAAGGAAATTCACATCATGACCTAAATGGTAGAAAGCTAACCCTATATTCTAGCAAATAAACAGCTAAATCATAATGAAGAAATTGACCTCGACTGTTGGTCTTTGTTCTTTGTCCGAACCGTCACTCTGGGTTTTCACCCGTACATTCAGGAAACAGAATAAAACTACACTGAAGCATATAAAGAACGGAAATAAAGTGAAGCCTAGCATAGCTGTGTGAGATTACACCGTCTCTCTTTGTTTCACAACATCAAAAGATAGATACCAAAACGCGTAGAGTTATTAATATAAGCAGTTGTGAATATACTATAAATATACTAAGGTACTTCTGAGTTGATTTGATTGTTAGATATTCCACATATTGAAATTGTATCATGTACTAGATTCCCATAGTAAAACGGGATTACTTACTACAAGTATACAACAAACAAATGTACATTACCCCGTTGCACAAGACCACTTAAATTAACAAAAATGAGGCGAGCACTAGGAGTTGGTTAATCTAAACTATTATGATCTGTTTTCCACCACTAATCATCTATATATGCCACCTTGTGAATCGTAACCGAAAATAACTACAGTTCACTCAAAATCAATCCCAATTAACAAAAAACCATAAAGACCCATCTTGCTTGTGTTTTTTACTATTTGGTGCTTCTATGAGACAATATTTGAATTAAAAAAAGCTTAATGAGGCTAATAAATTCTGATACACCTGGTGTAGCAATGACTTAATATTCCTATCTAGAGTTCAGTAATTTGTTCGATAAGAAATTACAATTAAATGTTGTGTGGAACGCCTTATCATAACACACCTCAGGAGATATGCACCCATGGGCTTTTAACTGCTGAAACAGGCATTCAAGCATAAATGACAGAATATACAGAGTTCGGATTTTCTACTTCTTCTAAGGAGTAATGGATACATCATGCTACCTTTCATGGTCACGAATGTTTACTTACAATCCAACAAGAAAGCACTTATTTTTTAAGCCATAAGTATAGTAAACACGTAGTTAGAAGATGGTAGAGAAACAATTTATCAATCTAGGTCAAATAGTTCATTACTTCTAAGTCTTTTATTTAGTTTTACGAATGATCGGTGAAAGCTTCAGACAAATAGGTTGACGAGATCATAAAGCCAACACCTAACTAGTTGTCGAAATTTTACTGGAGATTAGTTTATTGCTACAGTTGAAACACTGACAGCAAACACCTAGAGAGATATCTGCGATAAACGTTAATGATTCCGTTTTATAGGTGGATGTTTCTATTACTTTTAAGTATTTTGGAACTTATAGTGATTTATTCACAAGGTTACATAAAGGGGAGAGGATAGACTCCAACTCATCCAAAAAGCATTTACTCGATCTTAAAATGTGTATTGAATTCCCATATCTTTCTGTAAAAGAAGGATTATCTGCTCAAAGAAGTCCAACTCTATTTAGAATTGTTACATAGAATACAGTCATATGTAACGAAAAACTGATAAAAATCATAAACATCTTAGGATAGAAATGCCAGAATTATTACAAACAGGATTTTACGTGACCCATAATATTAGAATTATACCTTTATAAGTTAACTCAGCTCACCTAATTTCTCCTGTAAATGCACCTTTCGGTACTTTATAGCAGTTTTGAGCTGCTACATGTATACTTCTTTTCAAGTGGTCTCTAACATCACGGAGGAAAATAGAAGGTGGAGCCACTAAAACCTCTATAAAAATGAAGCGTTGCGGACGTGACATAAAAACCAACCTGTATTGTCACTGAACTGGGCTTCAGAAAGTGTGCGAATTAAAGTATCATTGTCTGAACGACTCCCATTCATCTTCCAGTTTCCACCAACAAAAAATTTTCGAGATCCTGGCATTTCCAGAGAAGGTTAGGTCTGCAACTGAAAAATAATTCAGCCAACGCGCTGGATATCACTTTTGGAAAGCTCAGTAAAACGACGTGAACAAACAAATTTTAAGCCATGATGCAATAACCAAAGAAGTAACAAGGTGAAGGCACTTCTTGTTGCTCCACATTGTAGGATAAATAGAAAACTCAGTAATATATTGAAAAATATTTGTGAAATACGCGTTTGGATTACTCGTGGTAAGCATTCAGATTAAGTTATGGCTCTAGGAGCAAGAATAACACTATAGGTTACCGTAGTTGTCCTTGCTTTTTCTGCGCAATGGATGCTCAGTTTCGCTTTGAACGAAAAAGGGAAGTCCCGAAAAGTTTAACTGTGGTAGACAATTCCAATATCCAATATTGATAGTGCGAGCGTAGAAAACTGGTAGTTTTTGATCTCTCGCGTCTAGTTCTTAGGGCTTGGTTCGAGTTGTTCGGTTCACTCCTGCAGTAGACGAGCAAATCCCCTCTGCTTTCTTGCTTTTAGCTTCGGTGAGGTGGATGTTTTGTGGGTTAGTAAGTTGTAATTTGTAGAGTGATTGGGGAGCTACGGGTTGCGGGGAAGTTTAGAGAACTGCTGTGACTTCTGTGTGCGTATGTACCTGAAAGAGAATAGTAAGGTAGTGGTAAAGGAATGAAGAGAGAATACAAAAAAGAGAGGAAAAAATAATAATATAGGGAAGAGAAAAGGGAAGGAGAAGAGAAGGAGGGGTGTTGAGTTGCAGGCAAAATTGATTTGTCTGCATGGTCTGCCTGGTGAGCGATCTTGTATGCCATAATAAGGTCACCCCTTTCCCTACGATAACCCAAGGTAAACAGGTTTGGGCGTTTAAGGCTTCCAGGATACGTCTTTCCCCTTAGCCTCACAACTGATTTTGTTGCAGTTCTTTGTATTCTTTCAAGGAGATTAGAGTCTCTCTTGAGTGTTGGTAGGGGGGGCACCGTATTGAGGACCTCTAGATGCGGCCACACGTAGGATTTGAAAATATTTAGGAAGAGTTCGGGAATGAGGGCGCCAAGCTGTCTACGCAGAAAGTGTAGAGTGGCGTTCCCTCTGGTTGTCATACCTCTGTTGTTGCAGCCAGTGTCCAAGGTGTCGGAGAAGTTGAGCTCCAAATCTTTCTCCATAGACACTGGTGATGGTATAGTTGCTCAACATGTACTAGAAGTCGGTCGTACTCGCTTCATTTTTACCGATGTGCGTTACTTTGCACTTTTCCAGGTTGAAGCTCAGGCCATTTTCCGACTACCAGAGCTCGAGTTGCTGCAAATCCTTTTGTAGCGCTGTGGGATCAGCTTCTTCGTTTACCACCCTCCAAATTTTTATGTCGTCAGCGAGGAGGAGGATGGGTGAGGACATTTTATCTGCAGGTCGTTGACAAACAGGAGGAACAAAAGCGGTCCTAGGATTGCTCCTTGGGATACTCCTGATGTCGAGGGTCTCCACTCCGACCTTATTCTGTTTACTTTAGTGCAGAACTGCCTTCCTTCAAGGTACTCCTTGAAGCAAGAGAGTAGGGGTCCACTTATACCAGCTGACATGATCTTGTGGAGCAGTACTGTGGGTTGGAGGCTGTCAAATGCTTTGGCTAGGTCGAGAAATACAACATGTACCGGTTTTCTGTTATCCCAGTTTAGTGTTCAGTCGTTCCATTAGATTAGTAAGTTGGTGGCATATGAGCGACCACTCCGAAAGCCATGCTGAGCAGTGTGGACAGTGTTTTTCCTATTGAGGAATTCTCAGATGGTGTCAGCTACCGGGCTTTCCAACACTTTCGACACAATAGGGAGTAGGGCAATTGACCTGTAGCTGCCGGGTCCTTTTCTGTCTCCTCCCCTGAAGATGGGTGACAAGATGGCGCTTCTTCACTTTTTAGGGAGTTTGCACGAGTCTATTGAGTGCTCAAAGAGGTTGCGAAACGGCTGAGTTTTCTAGAACCACTGGTTTTAGGTTATCGAAGACAGGAGGACGTGCCCGAACGTAGCCTAGATAGTTTCTCGAACGCTTTTCTCTCTGTAATAGAGACGTGACAGAGGTATTCGTTATTTACGACCTGGCCGGTGTTGCAGCGAGTTGGTGTGGATCCTGTGTCAGTGCTAAGTCAAGCTTGGAAGTGTGAGCTCAAAAGCTCGGCAATCTCTAGACTGCCTAGTACACTCCCGTCATGGCCTGTGACAAGATTCTCTCCCTTACTGGATGACTTTCTTCCCGACATGAAGCGGTACAGGTCTTTGGGGTTGCTTTGTAACCTCGCCGCCAGGTTTGTTTGATAGCAAAATCTGTCGCTATGCACTCTAATGTCACAGAGGTTGCGAATTCTTTTCTAGTTCAAGAAGTCAGACTCCCTGAGTGATGTACGCCACCTGAACCAAGCCTGCTTCTTGCTCTGGATAAGCCTCTCTGTCCCACGCTTTAACCATGAGATTTCACTGATTGTCTGTGTGTCACTTCTGGTACACTGTGACTGATGGCCCCAGTGATTATTTTCTTCACCTCCAACCAGTGTTCATCTACTGTGAGATAAGCTCAGTCCATCGGCTATGATGCATTCGTGAGGTAGTCCCTCGATGTCTCGTAGGTGGCCCTTCTGTAGCAAGGGAAGGTGTTGGACGTCTCCAGTTGCGGAGCCTCCCTAGTTATCATGGAGAAGGTGATTACAGCGTGGTCAATGAGGCCAAAGGGAGGTTGGATGCAAACGTCCTCAATGAGAAGGTTATCGCTCTTCAGAACGTAGTCAGGGGGCGATGCTTCCCGTCAGGTCCCCAGCATGTCGTATTGCCCACTTTCTCTGAAAGGCCAGCGGCCTTGATTACATTCTTTAGCTTCTGATAGGAGGACTTGATGTGTCTCCCTTCCACCTCGAGAAGGATGGATGGATGTTGATGCCGCCGGCGATGACAACGGAATCGTAATTTGCAGAGGAAGCCGTTAAGATCGCCTTGATGACCATTTCCTTATGTGTAGGGGGGCTGGTGGGGGACCGATATACGACTCCGAGCAGGTATTTGGTACGGTGGAGAGTGAAGTAGCACCACAGAGACTCCCGGAGCTGGGTTAAGGCCGTATCGCTAACCATCCTTGCCTTTAAACGGAGTTTACGTAGATAGCCACTCCCCCTCCTGCTCTATGTTCCCTGTCCCTGCGGAGGAGTTCCATGCCAGTAACATGCATCTCTTCGTCGGAGATGTCTGGCGAGAGCCAGGATTCGGTGATGAATATGATGTCGGAGTGCTGATGTTCACGCAGCGTCCTCATTTCTGCTATTTTCCCTCTTAGCCCCCTCACGTTGTTGTACAAACATATTAGAATGTGCCCGGTGAGAGGGAGGTCTGGTTGTGTATTTTCGCGGGATGAGCGCTTACATGGTTGTGTCTAGCCTCGCCAGTCCTCATGGGACTGGCACTGTCCCATTTTTTGTGTTTTGTTTTTAACTTGGGTGGGGGCCGTGGCAGTGGTGGCTTCTACACTTGGTGTATCTAACTCACCGGTCAGCGCCCATGTGACGATCACTGACTCCAGAGGTCTTGGTGGTTGCCGTCTCTCCCCTTGCCTTGTGGGTCTAGGCTTACTTTCACCCATACGTAATGAGCCACACATGCGATCTTTCGCATTATACCATGCGTGTAGAACGTCTGTGAGGGAGGTATATGAGTCGAACTGGACGGCGAGTAGTCTGAATAAAAAATAAACAGTTTTGGACGCGGTCAAACCTGTTGATTAAAGAAAAACTACGGCTGACTCACAGCCAGGAAAGATGGCATCTACTGAACCCGTTGTACCTAAATATCTCATGAACTTGCTCAAAGTTCCGTATGGAGCCTCACTAATGCTTTCAAACAGATCCACATTACTTCTTGCTCCTCCTTCTTCTCGAGTTCTTACCTGGTGAACTCATACGGGATGTGGCAACTTGGATTACTACTCAGCGGAGCCACTTCACACGATGATATTTTGTTTCCATCTGACAGTTTTCAGCTTATTCCGTCATAGTCGATCTTAGAGTTAGGTCCCTGTGGTTGTACTGCTGGACTCCTCCAACGCTACGAAATGACATTTCGTCTTCTAGGAAGTAGGTATGGCAAAGTAGAAGAGCAGTAGAATCCACTCCTTGTATGAGTGGTGTATTCGTCATAGTGACTACGTCACGACATAGTTTACCGGCCAAAACCACCAACCCTGACGTTTTCCTAACCAAGCAGCGAGCATTAAGGAACACGGAGCTTGATAGGTTGGAGGTTAAATACTGCTAACATGCGTAGGTTTGGAAAGCACTCGAGTCCAACGCGTCACAGCCTAAGACACCAACCGGTTTCATGTTTTCCTCTTCCTCTCCCAGAGCCTTTCGCTCAGTAAGGGCCACTAGTCCCCATTTTCTTCTCAAGAAGTTAGCCTGAAAGAGTTAGAACATTTAAATCTTGTGTCTTTCCGCGTAACCTAAAATAACAACCACCTGCCTATCATCCTCGTCCTCACTTTTGTGCTGTTTTCGTCTCTTTGGCTTGGCCAAACGACTTTGAAGGTAAGTATGTCAATCAACTTTCCCTATAGTTCCTGACAAATAAGGCGCGGGCATCGTCTGGAAACTACGATTCCGTGATCACTGCCTGCGGCTTCAACACCCCGTCCATCCTTCTCGAGATGGAAGGGAGACACATCAAGTCCTCCTATCAGAAGCTAAAGAATGTAATCAAGGCCGCTGGCCTTTCAGAGAAAGTGGGCAATACGACATGCTGGGGACCTGACGGGAAGCATCGCCCCCTGACTACGTTCTGAAGAGCGATAACCTTCTCATTGAGGACGTTTGCATCCAACCTCCCTTTGGCCTCATTGACCACGCTGTAATCACCTTCTCCATGATAACTAGGGAGGCTCCGCAACTGGAGACGTCCAACACCTTCCCTTGCTACAGAAGGGCCACCTACGAGACATCGAGGGACTACCTCACGAATGCATCATGGCCGGTCGAC